CTTCCCAGCCCCTGATTGATTTCTGAAGCTTGAACTTAGGACCTCAAATTTGTTAGGCAAGCATTCTGCCACTGAAGCTACACCCCTAATACTTAGGCTGCACCCCTAGTGCTAAGCCACGCCTGTGTGTGTGTGTGTGTGTGTGTGTGTGTGTGTGTGTGCGCGCGCGCGCGTGTGTGCTAGTCCTAGGGCTTGAACTCAGGGCCTGGGAGCTGTTCCTGAGCTTTTTCACTCAAGGCTGGTGCTCTACCACTTGAGCCACAGTGCCACTTCCAGCTATTTGGTAGTTTACTGGAGATAAAAATCTATGGGCTTTTCCTGCCTGGGCTGGTTTTGAACCTCAATCCTCAGATCTCAGCCTCCTGAGTAGCTACGATAACCGGCATGAGCCACCGGCGCTGGGCTTGTGCTGGGTATTTTTGTTTCGCTTCCTGCCCGCACATGTGCCTGGACAGTGATCCTCCTGTTTTTAGCTTCCTGCCATAGCTGGGGTGACAAGCATGCGTCACTACACCCAGCCTCTCCCATTGAGATGGAGTCTGGCGGCCCGTCGTGCTTGGGCTGACCTGGAGCCTCCTGTGAACACCCAGAGTTCAGTCTCCTCCATAGCTCCGAGAGCGGGAGCAGGTATGCGCCTGGGACCCCGCCTTCCTTCCTGGCACCTCTGACCCCTGGTTTGCACAACTCTAGCAGTCCCAGTAAAGGAAGTCATGACTTGTGTCTACATTTTCCACTTCTACAAACAGTGGTGCGTGGACGCTCTGTGTGTGTGTGTGTGTGTGTGTGTAGAAGAGAGAGAGGTTTATTTTAGGAGTTGGCCCCCATGGGTGTGCCGGCTGGTGAGTGTGAAATTTGCTGGCCAGGCGGGCAGACTGGGGACACAGGGAAGGCTGGATGTTTGCCTCTGCCTGGAGACAGCATTCTGTTGTGGAGGCCCGTGGGGGAGGGGAGAATGTCACTTCCTTCAACTGATTGGACGAGGCCCACCCACATCAAAGGGTCAAACTTACTCAGAGTCTAGGGAGTCCCGTGACTATCACCTCAAAAAGTACCTTCCCAGCAACATCTAAAGTAGCGACACAACATGAGTCCTCAGGTCCTCCCAGCTAGAAGCACAGACAGACAGACAGACACACCTGCTGGTGTGGGAGGAGGAGTCAGGAAAGGGATTGTTCTCAGCTGAGGGTCCCCATCCCCGCGGGGGGGGGGGGAGGCGGGGCTCAAGGTGCCTCCCACGGTTCCCGGATTCCTGCAGCTGGGGACAGACCTGAGCAGGGAGCGCTCAAAGCATTCCTGGGGGCTGAAGACACGCAGGGCCTGGTTGAAGTGGTTTTCCCTCCGTGGGCCGGTGCCAGCCCTGTGCCAGCCGGGCCGGGAGAGCCGGCCTCCCGCTCATCAGGTCCTTTGAAGTTGGAGGAGCCCCAGGGGGGTTTGAACGTCTGTGGTGGGGAGTTGGGGCTCCACCCGGGGCCCTGCTGGCCTGAGGGGATTTTCTCTCAATGGAAGGGAGGAGAGATTGCCCCCCCCCCCCCCGCCATGCCGGAGCCAACCTGATTCCTCCAGGGCCTCCGTGGAGGGTAGCAGCCTGCACGTGGAAACCAAGAGTGGCCCTGGGGTCAGGGGTGCTCCCCCCCCCCCCGCCCAGATCAGCTTGGCAGGGTCCTGCAGCCCATCCTGGCGACTTGGGGAAGCACCAAAGGCCCAGGTTCTTGGGTCCCAGGGTGGGGACTTGATTGGTGATGTTTTGTTGGTCATGGGGCTTGAACTCAGGGCCTGGGCGCTGTCCCTGAGCTTCTTTTGCTCAAGGCTAGCACTGTACCACTTGAGCCACAGTGCCACTTCTGGCTTTTTCTGTGTATGTGGTGCTGAGAAATGGAACCCTGGGCTTCATGCATGCTAAACAAGCACTCTACCACTGAGCCACCTTCCCAGCCTGCTGGTCCTTCTTGTTAAAGCCTGGCAATGCTGCTGAAGGGTACACAGCCCATGTATAGGTGTGTGACTGTGTATCTATGTCCGTGTGTGTGTGTGTGTGTGTGTGTCTGTGTGTCTGTGTGTGCGCTGCTGGGTTTGGAACCCAGAGCCTCACACATGCTCAGTGGAGGTCACCACTGGCCCCCCTTCCAGCCCTCACTGGCTGTATTTGGTCTGTTGCCAACATAGTTTAGCCAACCCCTCTGTTGACTTCCAATAGGGATCCCCCCAGGAGGAGCCCAAGCCCCGTGAGCAGCACCCCATCTCCAGCTTCCCCTGTGGCGGGCGGGCGTTGCCTGCCAGTGGCTCCCTTCACTGAGTGCGGTGGCCTCAGGGTCAGTGTGTCAGAACCTCACCCCGTTCCTGGCTGAGCAATATTCCAGCATGGAGACAGACCACACTGTGGGTGTTCACACATCCACCTCTGCATTCGGGGCCATTTCCACTTTGTGGCCTGGGTGGATTGCACTGGTGTGGACACACCCGGGCCGACCCCTTCTCAGCCCCCCCATCTGTCTACACACAGGTGTCCAAAGCCGCCTCTGAGCTGATGAGCTACTGCGAGCAGCATGCCAGGAGCGACCCCTTGCTGGTCGGCGTCCCCGCGTCCGAGAACCCCTTCAAGGACAAGAAGCCCTGCGTCATCCTCTAGCTCTGTTCTGTGTGTGCTTGCCCCCCCCCCTCTCTCTCACAGTCTGAGACTCAAACTCAGTACCTGACACTTGGGCTCATTGGCTGGCACTCTACCAGCCTCCAGCCCCCACCCCATCTCAATTCTTAATTCAAGAAAAACCATCCGAGTCCACAAAAAGGAGTTGAGGTGCTGGGTGAGAGCCAAAAGCCCCCGCCCCGAGTCCTCCATGCCCACAGTCTGTCCTCTGGTGAAGCCGGGCTCCGTCACCCAGCACCCCAACTCCTCACCGCCTCCCCCAGCCCACCATGGCGGCCCGGCCGATGCACAAACCTCTCAATCACTGTTTGAATAACTGACTCAGAACCAAGAGAGAAAGGAGGCCCAGGCGGCCTCCGGCAGCTATCTGAAAATTAATTATTTGGGGAAAGTCTCGGGTGCTGGGATGTGTGTGTGTGCCAAAACTGGGGCTCGAACTCAGGACCTTATACTCTCACTTGGCTTTTTTTTTTTTTTTTTTCACTCAAGGCTGGCATTCTACTCCTTAAGCCACAACTCCATTTCTGGCTTTTTGCTGGTTCCTTGGAGATAAGAGTCACGGATTTTCCTGCCTGGGCTGGTTTTTGAACCAAGATCTTCAGATCTCAGCCTCCTGAGTAGCTGGGATTACAGGCGTGAAGATCAGTGCCGGGACCTGGTTCTCTGTTTTGGTGTGGGTTTTTGGGTTTGTTGATCAGTGGGGTGTGGGTGACAGAGTCGTGATGGCCCGCAATTGTATCCGGATGAACATCAACACTTTGGGGCTGAACCTGCAGCCACACCAGCCCAGCTAGAGCTGGGGGTGAGACGGGGTGGGGGTTAATGTATGAACTGCACCCTCTATGTCCCAGCACAGCCATCTGGGTGGCACTGACCACGCCACAGCTGCGTCCTTTCCCAGGGGACCCCATGCACCCCAGAGCTGCATACACCTCCTATCCCGGGGAGCAGTGGCTACTGCAGGGCGGGGTGGGGAGAGGCGGGCTGTGTGTGGTTCTGTCTCCACCCGAGGTGGGCTGTGGCTCAGTTTCCCTGGCTGCCGGGATGGAGACACCCGTCCTCAGGCTGTGGCCTGGTGCTGGGTGGCGCTGCCCAGCCCCTTGGGGCAGGCCGAATTGCTAAATTATCTTGAAGTGACAGGAAAGGCCTGGTGGTGGCCCGGTCTCTCGGCCGTACCCCATCTCTGGTCCGCCCTGATGACCCCCAGGTCAGCCGTGGATGTTCTGATGGGGGCGGGGCGGGGTCTGTTTTCAGGGTGACCAGGTCCTCCGTGAGGACGGCCCCTGGGATGGGTGAAGGGTGGAAGCAACTGCAGGCATCCCCTCCCCAGCCCGCCCGCGTCGCCTGCCCCCACGCCTGAGCATCGGGGCGCCCACGCCCCCTGGACTCGGAGCCCCCCAAGGCTTTGCTGGAAGCCGATGCTGGGGGTCCCTGGACGGCTGCCCGGCTGTGACCAGGCAGCACGTGGGGCCGGGCCCCCACACACGTCTGGGAAGCTGGGGTGCGGGGAGGAGAAGCTGCAGGGGCTTGCCTGGCTCCAGGGGTGGGGGGCGCACATGGGGGCCTGGCCCCAGAGCAGCGGGGCTTTGTGGGGCCCAGCTCATTTGGACCAGGAGAGCCTCAACATCTCTTCTTCCCCACCAAAAAAAAAAAATATATATTCTAGCCATCTGGTGTTTCCCTGGGTGCCAGCGGCCCTGGGTAACTGCCCCACCTCCTCAACCCACCCGAACAGCAGGGAATGGCCGAGAGGAATCAAAGAATGTTCTGGAAACCCAGGGCACTGCCTGGGGATGGGACTATGGGAGGAGGGATTTCTAGCAGCGCAGGCAGTGGGGCTGACCAGGCGCTGCCGGTTATACCCCAACGCCTCCCATTTGGAAAGCCCCCCCCTCGTCCCTGTTTCTCTTTAAAAGAAGCCTTAATCCCTGCAGCGGCCCCATCCGTGCACGTCCACCGCCGCCTCCCTCCTCTCTCCCCTGCCACCCCAGCCCTGGCCACCAGGCTTCCCAGGGGACAGCAGCCCAGCTGCCCTCCTGTCGCCTTCCCTGCCAGGGTGCAGGTGGAGGGGGCACAGAGGTGCCCAGCCTGGCCCCCAGGGGACACCCCTGGCCAGACCCCGGCGCCCAGAACCCCAGGGCCAAGGGAAAGGGGGGGCTGCTCAAGTCAGCCGAATGACAGTGTGTGCTCTGTATCCCCCAAGTCACACCCTCGTGTCCCCCAGAGAGGACCCCCACACCACAGCGGCTCAGGGGCCCTGAGCTCCTCCCTGGAGCACCCCTGAGCACGATCTGCCCACACCCCACGTAGCCCGGGACGGGGGGGGGACAGCGAGCAGGAGGCGCCTCAGGCTCTTTGGCCTAGCGAACCACAGGACCCCGCTCGTGCTCAACATGGTCCTGCGTGGAAGCATTCCCGTGCCCCCCCCGCCCCGTGTTCCCATTGCTCCAGCCTGGAAGCTTTGGGGTATCTGTCTCCCCTGCTCTCTCCCACACCCCGTATCAGGGGAAATCAGGCTTCAGGCCACCCACCTGCACTCCAAACCAAGGTGGGTGGCAAGACACACGGGGTGAACCCCAGTTTCATCACTGCCCCCAGAAGCCTGCCACCCATGGGGTGACAGCCACATTGCCCCCCCTCCCCCGCCGTCCTTTCCTTCCCCTACTTTGGGGGGAGAGTAAGGACATGGCTCCACCCCCTGGCGCCTATGGATGACATCACTCCGTCCGCCGGAGGCTTCTGGGCGCAGTGGGACAGACGCGCTGTCACCTGTCACCGCCATGTTCTTCCTGGCACTGGGCCGAGGCAGCGGCCACCATCACAGCCCCGGGACATGAGGAAGCACCGGACGCTGGGCCCTGGCTGCTGGGACAGGTTCCCCCGCCCCCTCCCCCGGGCCCCCCTTCTTTTGTAAAATTGTGGAAAGCCACCTTGGGGGCCCCTGGGACAGACGCCACGTGCCCACGCCACCGCCACCCCAGGACAGACACACGTGGCCAGACATCGCCGAGATCCTCTTTCCCCAGTTCCAGCCGCCGGCTGCTCCAGCAGCTTCTCTCCCTCTCGGTGTTTCGGGGTGTCTGGTGATTTTTGTTTCTGATTGCTTTTTTTTTTTAATTTTAAACTTCACTTTCTCACAGTGTTTTACTATTGTGTGGGGTTATTGTTACTAAAAAGTGAATTCATACACAATAAAAGGCTGTTGTCCTTTCGCTGTGGCTGTGGGTTCCTCCTCCTCCCCAGGGCCCGCACTGGCTGGGGGAGCGCGGTTGTCTTCTCCCCCAAAACCCAGGAAAGGCTTTCCAGATCCCACACATGAAGCGGGGCCTTGCAGGTCTCAGAGAAGCGGCCGAGGCCCTGGGTTGGTCGTTCTGGGTTTGGGGGGCTTTGTTTTTTCTTCTTTCCAGTCCTGAGGTTTGAACTCAGGGCTTGGGCTGCTGTCGTTGAGCCCTTTGAGCCACAGTGCCACTTCCGGTTTTCTGGTGGTTCCTTGGAGATAAGAGTCTCCCAGGCTTTCTTGCTCAGGCTGGCTTTGAACCACGATCCTCAGATCTCAGCCTCCTCAGACAATTTGAAAGCTTTCAAACTTCTCTATGCCTGCACAAAAGAAAAGAAAAGAATACCCACACCATTGAAGAAACTAAACATGAAAGCTGATTCTTACCTAAAACAGCCAGAGACGGGAAGTAGAGGGGAGTTGGTGCTGGATGGGGCAGAGCTTGAGTTTGGAAGATGGGAATGTGGTCAGTGGTAGAGTGCTCCCCTAGCATGCGTGAAGCCCGGGGTTTGATTCCTCAGCACCATATACACAGAAAAAGCCAGAAGTGGCGCTGTGGCTCAAGTGGTAGAAGAAGCTCAGGACAGTTCCCAGGACCTGAGTTCAAGCCCAGGACTGGCATTAAAAAAAAAAAAAGAAAGATGGAAGGTTCTGGAAATGGAGGTTAGTGATGTGATGTGCTCAAGGCCACTGCACTAAACAATGAACATGGTTTGTTTCTGTTGTGCATGTTTTTCCATTAAAACAAAAGATAACAACCCCGCCTACGTGACTAAAATTAACCCAGGCGGGTTGGGTGAGCTTGTGGAGCAATGGGACAGGCTTGGAGAGCGAAGGACAAACAGGCTCTTTGGAAAAAGATCCGGCAGTTAGTTTCCTATCACATTCCACACCCACCTATTCCATGACCCAGTAAACAAAAGACACCTGCTGCGGCCAGGGTGGGGGGAGGGAGTGGGGGGGCAACTTGGAAGGAAGCTGGGCGTGGTAGTGTGCACCTGTAATCCCAGCCCTTGGAGAGAGGCAGAGGTAGGTGGATCATGTGGCCACATCCAGCCTGGATGACATAATCAGAGAGTCTTGTCTTGAAACAAACCAAAGGATCTTGAAGGAAATGTTTCCAAGCTTTGTTCCTGAAAAGTGAAAATCTGGACCTTTCTCAGCGGTTGAGCCGCAGGTGTGTGGAGAGAGAAATCAGGACTCCTGTGAGCCACACAATAACAAAACCGAAAACGGTAGAACCCATCAATACTTTACCTCTCATGGGTGAGATGGAGATTTCAGGTGGGAGCCAGTGCTGGTGGCTCACGCCTGTCATCCTAGCTACTCAGGAGGCTGAGATCTGAGGATCACGGTTCAAAGCCAGCCAGGGTAGGAAAGTTCTTGGGATTCTTATCTCCAATTAATCACAGAGGGGGAAAAAAAGAAAAAAGAAAATTAAAGGACAGTTTGTTTGTTTTTTGCAGGTTCTGGGGCTTGAACTCAGGGCCTGGGCGCTGTCCCTCAGCTCTTCTGCTCAATGTGAGCACTCTACCCCTGAGCTACAGCGCTACTTCCAGCTTTCTGGTGGTTTATTGGAGATAAGAGTCTCACGGACTTTCCTGCTCGGGCTGGCTTCAAACCACCATCCTCAAATCTTAGCCTCCTGAGTAGCTAGAATGACAGGCGTGAGCCACCAGTGCCTGGTGCAGAATTTCTTTTTTTTTTGGGGGGGTGCACTTGTCTCCTGAAACTTCT